GCGGTGGGTATCACGAGCATCAAGGGGGTCTGGACCGATGTGCTGCCGGCGAACCACATTGTCCAGAAGAGCTTCGTGTTGACACAGGCGTGCACAAACACCCTTCCAGCACATGGGGTCACAGTGATCGGTGCCTTGGCACACATGCACTACGCCGGCAAGTCCTTGAAGGCCTACCGCACGAGGCGCGGACGCACTGAGATGCTCTTCGAGCAGCGGGGGTTCGACTTCAATCGTCAGGCTGTGATCTACAAATCTTTCAAGCTTCTGGCTGGGGATGTGATCTCATGGACATGCACCTGGGACTTGAGGAACCTGGGTGACAAGGTCTATGGCTTGAGCTCTGAGGATGAGATGTGCCAGATCTTCCTGGCTGCCAACCCTCCCCTGCCGTTCGCACGAGCCACGCTGGGCATCCCCAGCCAAGGAGATGAGTACGGCGTTTGCGGCACACGTGCCTGCTTTGACTTGGAGGAATGTTCGGCGCTGGCACCGCACAGCAACGAGTTCCACAAGATTGAAGTTCAGCCTTTGACAGCCGAGGAGGGTCCACAGCGCGAGCTCTATGAGCTGCTTGTGGAGGCAGAGGCGACTCCGCCTGTGAACAACTGGATCTTTCCGCAGAGCGTCTCGGCAAGAACCAGTTGATCCTGTTTCAGCAGCGCTTTTGCCACCCAGTGTTCAGTTGTGGTAAGTTTATTAAAGTGGTGTTCTTCCCCGCTTGCGCGCGCCACGCAGGCATGATCGTGCATCTTTTCATCATCTCGGTGACCTACAAACTTGTGACACTGCTCTACAGTCGAAGACTTGAGGGTCGCGTGAATGTCCTAAAGAGATCCTTGAACTTCATGTTCTCCTTGCTTGGAATAATTGTGGGCACGCTCATCGCCTGTCATCCGGAATGGTTCCTGTCCGAAGCTGAGAAGGTCTACTCGGTGGACGAGGCCATTGGTAGCTCCTTCTGGTCTTTGAGTGCCTGCGCAGATTGGGTGGGCATCGCCTATGTCTTCGAGCTCATTGTCAGAGGCAGCAATGAATGTTTGCGCTGGGATATGGCTGTGCACCACTCGGCAACCATTGCCATCATTGGCATGTTGCGCAACGCCTTCGCCTACGAGTATGCACCGCAATTCTATGCAAGCATAGCAGCCTGCTTGCTCCTGCATGTTGTCACGGATGTTCCTGTGTTGTTCATCTTCGCCGTTCGTGGTGTCTCTGACAAGACTTGCTTCAAGAGGAGCCTTTTCGCTGCAGCATGGATCAAGCTCGCAATGCATACGGCGATCAATGTTTGTTCCTTCCTTCTTTTCGTCTCAGGCGCCAACAATTTTCGCCTGGCGACAGTAAGCTTCGCTTCTTGGCTGAAGACGGGCTACAACAAGGATCGTCCTCTTGCAACAGATGCAATGCGACGGTTCGATTGGGCCGCAGTGCTCCATGTCGGTCTTCCAGTATTGCTGTCCATCCTCTTCCTTACGCAGTTGTGGACGACGTGGGTGCTCCTGCGCATGAGCCGCCGCACAGTGGCTGAGAGTGCTGAGAATCGTGCAGGCACGGTAAAGACACACCAGCCCAATCTGAGTCTGTGCAAAACCACATGATGTTCGGGCTTGAGCAGCCCATCAGAACGTTAGATGTTTTGGTCTGTCAGGAGAAGATCTCTGAAGCAGACTTCCTTCTTCAGTTAATGTTTTCAATGCTCTGGGGTCAGTCAGTCGAGACTGTGTGACTCCCGCAGCGTTCCTGTTCGTATGGCGCAGGAAGCAAGACTCGAGGACGAGGGGGAGCTTCTGTTTGGGGGGCCCCACATCCCTCCTCGCGTATCTCACTATACGGATACAATACCCAGCTGACGATTTAAACAGTCTGGATCTTTTTTGCTTTCGAGCCGTTCCGCTGGCATGCAGGCAGCGGTGGATGTCGTCACGTTCAGTTGGCAAGAAACAACGAGTAGATGGCAGTGTTTGAATGTGGGTTAGAAGGCTTCAGATGCACGAAGGCTCCGAAGAGTTGTTTTCACAGGATTGAAGGTTTCAGAGGCCCCAAAAGCATGTTTTGGAAGGTTTGACTGAGAATGGAAAGGGTAGACCCAAAACGCAAAGTTTTGTGACGGGCCCTGGCCGTTGTTTGTTTGAAGTTTAGCATCAGTTACTGCATGTGAAACGCAGTGCCCTTTGCTGTTTCAACTCCCAGTTCTTGTTCGATGTGTGTGATGTGTAAACAAAACGGAAAGATGCTCGCCACGGCTTTCGCCGGGTTTTCAAGTCGAATCAAACAAATAATGCATTGAGATTGCAAAAACATTTGTTTGTTCTGTGCTGGTTTGTCGTGTCTAACAGTCTAACGATGCAGAGCGAACTTTAAACTTTCATGAGCCCTTTTGATTTGCGTCCAGGTTGGGCTGGAAAATTGGGAGGTGATTCCTCGAATCCGTGCGGACACGTTATGTTTGTCAAAAGCAAGCGATCTGAACCCAAGTCATGAACTTTATATTCGCTTCCAAACTTTGGGGAATCATCAACCGACACCGATGTTTGGTTTTGAGAAGGCCAGCTTGATGAAGATCTCCAATGATGGCAGCAAGCATGTTTTCGACGTTATGTTGTCCTTTGGTGGGCTGGTTCAATAACCCTAAACCCTAAACCCTAAACCCTTTCATGCTGTGGCCGCTTCCTGTCGCAGAAGCGCATGCGTCCAAGCTCTGATGTGGAGGGGCGCCATGTGTTAACCCCCTGAGATCCGGCCGATGAGCGAGGTCCACCGGCTGCATCAGTGGGCCTTAATAATTAGAATAGGGTTTGGGGGCCCATCATACTATACGTAGAATAAGGAACCCCCCAAAATAACATAGGCAATTATTTGGGGCCTTTGTCCTGGGTTTATGAGGCTTTCAACAGCAGGACTTGACATCAAGTTTCGAAGTCCGGAGCTCTTAGCCGCGTGTTGACAGATGTTTAAGTCACGACTAGCATGGCTCAGACTGCAACAGAAATCCGCCAGCTTCAACCCGTTTCGACGGTTCATTTTCGAGTCCGAAGTCCAAAGAATACATCTTCAAGCCGCAGCACCATTACCTCTTCACCTCCCACCCTCCCATTTTAACCTTGTGAAGCGTTAGGTCGAATACCAATGCCTTGAAGTCGTATGAATTTACATCTCAGCCCCAACCCTAAAGCCCATACCGTACGCACCAAACCCGAAATTCCTTAAACCCTAAGCTCTGCACCCTAAACCCTGAACCCTAACCTTAAACCCTGAACCCTAAGCCCTAAACTTTAAACCCTGAACCCTTGAGCTCTACACCCCCTAAGCTCTACACCCTAAACCCTAAACCTTAAACACTAAGCCCCAAAAGACTAAACCCTAAAGGATCGCGACGAGGCCGACTTCGCGAGTCTCTCGGAGGCCGCCTTTACCCAGGTGGGTAGTTCTCTAAATTAGGGTCCCCTTTTAGGTCCCCAATGTAGTACGGCACCCTTCATAAACAGGACCCTAAACCCTAAACCCCTAAACCCTGAACCCTAAACCCTAAACCCTAAAACCCTAAACCCCTAACCCCTAAGCCTTAATTTAGAGAACTGCCCCAGGTGGTGGATGAGACCTCGACCGCTTCCTCGCAGGCCGCGAAGCCGAAGCCGAAGTCGACGAAGAAGGCCCAAGGTTTAGGGGTTTAGGGTTTAGGGTTCAGGGCTTAGGGGTTTAGGGTCCAGGGGTTTAGGGTTTGGGGTTTGGGGTTTAGGGTTTCGGGTTTCGGGGTTTAGGGGTTTAAGGTTTAAGGGGTTTAGGGTTTAGGGGGCTGGAATTATTTGTGTAGAGTTTTGGGGAAAGTTTTTTGGTATAAGAAGGATCCTGAGGCACAAGAAAGGTTTGGGGGTTTGTGGGAGATTCGCATTGATTTGTGGGCCGGTGTTGCTGCCATGACGGGAGAAGGAATACTGCGATTCCGAACGAAAAGACACTCTGCGCTTCCGGGTGACACTGCAGCATGGTGTCTAGACACATTCGTGCAGGGTGTAGGCTTCAGGGTGTTGGGCTCCGAGATTTTACAGACGTTTCCAGCCTCGTATTCAGAAGGATCATATGCCTAAACCCTAAACCCCAAATCCTAAACCCTAAACCCTAAACCCGAAACCCTAAACCCCAACCAACCCTATCAAGAGAACCAACAGATCGGTTGAGGAATCCCTTCCTTGAGGGTTTAGGGTTTAGGGAAACAAGGATCTTAATCCAGGACCATGGCAGAGGGCTCTGCTCAGACCCCAAGCCGTAAACCCAAAATCCTAGATCCTGAACCGCAAACCCAAAACCCTAAACCCTGAACCGTAAACCCAAAACCCTAAATAAACCCTGATGAACCGTAAGCCCAAAACCCTGAAGGGGCCATACCTCTTGCAGGTTCGGGTAAAGCCCTCAGCAAAAGCCGATGTTGCCTGTCAGCACTGGCATTCCGCGTACTTAGTCACAGGGGCTCCCTGGATCTGCCCAGGGTGGAAAACCTTGTGTTGCGGCTCTTCCGAATGCTTCGGGTTCAAGGTTTAGGGTTCAGGGTCCTGATCCGCTTCTTGAGCATGACGTCAGAAACCATCCTCGGAAGCAGCTGAATCTTGAAGAACGGACTCAAGGCTAATCCGAACCCCTGGACCTCCAACCAAAGCCGTGAAGCTTTTTAATGCAGACTGCGGCCCACCCGCCGAAACTTCAATTTCCGTAGACCTTCTGGAACATCTAAGCCCACCCATATTCAGCCCCGCGCTGGGCTGGCGGCCACCCATCCCTCTCTGTTCCGCCCGCCCGCCTGCCCACCCACCAGACAGTCAATCGTGACAACTCTGATCGTCTCGTGCCTAGCGGCATGTATACACATTGAACATGTCGTTGAAAGAGGCCGTCCGTGGCCATCGGCGATTATCCCTGAACTGATGCCAGACTTCCCCAATTTAAGGCGACAACCGACCGACATTTGAGCGCGGCTGCTTCGTGGCATTGGAAGGATGTGGACGGGATAGAGGGTGATGCAGCTCGGATTTCGGGTGCCTTCGTACATTCTTGCGAAACCCAAAACCCTCAAACTGTGTCTTCGTGTTCTGCATGCGGAGATGGCATACTTGCGTATAGGTGGCTGCTGCAGACGAGGAGTCAGCAGTGAAATCGGCCATACGTCATTATCAGAACTTTTCACTTTACCGTGTGTGGCAACAG